AATACCAAACCAACGGCAAGAAATCGTACTTCTTAGCACTGGGGCACCACTTCGAGAGCAAAGCAACGACAACACATGGTATGTTTTAGCACTGGGGCACCACTTCGAGGCCAAAACAACGGCAACAAATCGTACTTTTGAGCACTACTTCTAGCATTGGGGCACCACTTCGAGACCAAGGCTACGGCAACAAATCGAGCATCGTAGAACTAGGGCGCCACTTCAAGACCAAAGCAACGGCAACACATCGTACATCATAGCATTGGGGCACCACTTCGAGACCCAAGCAGCATCAAAATATCGTGCATCTTAAAATTGGGGCACTACTTCGAGACCAAAGCAACGGCAACAAATCGACCATCTTGGCATTGAAGCACCACATCAAGACCGCAGCAACAATTCGTACATCCTCGCAGTGGAGCACCAGTTTCGAGATCGAAACAATGGCAACACATCGTACTTCTTAGCATTGGGGGCACCGCTTCGATACCAAAGCAACGGCAACAAATCGCACATCTTAGCGCTGCGGCACTTGAAGACCAAAGCAACGGCAACAGTTCCTTTCATCGTAGTATTGGGGCACCACTTCGAGACCAAAGCAACGGCAACAAATCGCTCATCGTAGCAATGAGGCACCAATTCGAGACCGACGCAACAACAAAAACTACACATTTTTGCATTAGGGCACCCCTTCGAGACCAAAGCAACTACAACAAATCGTGCTTATTAGCACCGGGGCACCACCTCGAGACCAAAGCAACGGCAACAAATCGCACATCTCAGCATTAGGACACCACAAAAAGGCGAGAAATCGCACATCTCAGCACCGGGGCAACACACCACTCCGAGACCAACGCAACGGCAACATCAAATAGTACATCTTGGCACTGGGGCACCACTTCGAGGCAAATCGTACTTCTTGACATTGGGGCACCACCTCAAGACCAAACCAACTGCAACAAATCACACATCCTGAAACAACGGCAACAAATCGTGCATCTTAGCACTAGGGGGCACCACTTCGAGACTAAAGCAACGGCAACAAGTCGTAAATCTCAGTACTGGGGAACGGCTTCAAGACCAAAGCAGCCGCAACAAGTCGTACATCCTGTGGACTACGCCGATGTCCTCAGCTTGAGAGGGGTGGGCACGCACGCATTGCTTCTTTAGTACGGGCACCAGACTCCTGCTCAATAGTGTTATGGACTTGTGGCCACTCCAGTACACCATGTCTGTGCGCCGCAGGCGCTCCGCAACGTGCAGCTAGTGAAGGATCTGGCACACGCGTGGAAAGCGTTCCACGCCTTTTGCAGCTTTCCGTGAAGTGGTGCCCCAGTGCTAAGATGTACGATTCGTTGCCGTTGCTTTGGTCTCGAGATGTTGCCCCAACGACAAGTCCTTAACTCACAGCTGAAATCTCAAAGCTTTCCGGACATCTCCAGAAACCGCAAAGTGCGCGCAGCGGCCCTTGTCCTGATAAAACCTCCATGACGGCTCCCGGCCCAGAAATTATGGGACAACAGTGTCGCAACTTGTTGCATGAATCGGGGGGAAGCTGTATGCCGGCGTCTTTGCGGATGTATTTGGTACGAGTTGGCAGGCTGAAGCCTGAAGCCAGCGTGGCAAACACGGAGTGACTTAATCAGGATGCAGCCCGACAACAACGCAGCTTTACAGCTGTGGAGTGCTTCGCATGCTAGCCCTACTGCCAGACGTGCCAGCAGGCTTCAAAGACCGCTGTCTGATTAACGAGATGCAATTGCTTTGCGCAAGCTTCTACAACGGACACGCGTGTTAGGACAGACTGCTCCAGAACATTGAATTCGGCCCCAGACTATTCGGTAGCAAGGAACTCTGGGATGTTTATCCGGCGCGGCAGAAAGAGTGGGCCATCTTTGCAAAGGGATCGTTGTCCCGTCGGCGGACGTCACTCGTCATCAATAAAGCATTCAGCCCTCGGCTTGTCAAAGGTCAGGTTGAGCTGCTGCCGAGTTGGCCAAGGCCGCAGGATTGTGCAGGAGGCCATGCACTGAAGCCGAAGACCACTGACCCAGGCGTGCCTGTGCCAAAGGCCAAGCCCCGAAACCAAAGCCTGTCCGTAGCTTCGGCAGGTGCTTTCATCCCAGCATCAGGAGCAGGTGTCGAAATTTCATTTGCCATCATCCAAGTTCACGAAGCCAACAAAGCTGCATTTTTGGGGGGCAGCACCATGCCTTCATCGAAAACCACTGACCCAGACGTGCCTGTTCCAAAGGCTCAGGAGAAGTCCCCGACGCGAGGGTGAGCTTGCCCACATCATCGGCCGAGAGGACTCCAGAGGACACTGTCAGGGATGAGGGTCCTTCACGCGGCTCAGGGTTTATGGTTTCACGTTAAGGGCGTAGGGTTTAGGAGTGAGGATTTAGGGTTTCGGGGGTAGCTTAGGGCTTGTGAGTTTAGGGCTTGGGGGTTTGGTGCACCAAGCATTCCTTAAGGGGGTGGTTGATGTTGTCGCGGGCATTTCAGAGGGCTGTAATTATGAGATGTTCATTGGCAGGGTCTGTAGAGTTTTACGAGTCTCCTGAAGAGTTTTGTAAGCTTGTTGTTATATTTTTTACTTTTGCTAGTCTTTCTACGATCGTAAGAGGGCTCGGGCTGCAGGGACATCGCGCGTTTACGGGGTTGTAGATATTATGAACCCGAAACCCCATTCCAGGTATTAAACTTTTGCGGCAATCTCATCGTGGAGCGGCGAGGAATACATCATAGGATCCTTAATTGAGGGTGGGGACCTGAGAGAGCACTAGAGTTGATGACATAAATCCTGCATTGCCCATGATCCTTCGATGTTTCACGTTGCATCCCCACCGTACTTGGCACAGAAACTTTATCGTTAAATATTACTCCTTATCGCTTTATGACGAATCTAATCAATAGGGCCTCCAGCTCATAAATCTTCACTCCGGGTTTTTTACTCAAACCCAATTTGCAAGCGCTTCGACCCAGCCTCTCGTGCGGGGGACCTGCCCCTGCCACATGCAGCTCTTTCAATGTCGGCTTTAGTGACCCAGTTCTCAGCGCTGTCGAAGTACGCCATTTGCTTCTTCTCATCCAAGTCGCGCCACCTGGGAAGTGACACCGTTGGGGGGAGGCGAGAACTGGCAAGGACACGCTATTGCGAACCCAGGGCGGGAGATATTCTCAGGCTGGATGGGTCAATTCAATTCCCGGGTTAAGGTCACGCATGGCATGGCTGCTATCCACGTTGGAGGTGGGCGCTTGAGATCTACAGAGCCAGACAAATCAAGCTCCACAATTCATTGGCCATGCTTGTTGCTCCCTTGGGCTCGGTTACTTCCACGATTGACGGCAAGCTTGCTGGGCTGGGATTTTCGGATCTGCGTCTGTGTAACGTCTTATCCTCCGACACATCCTCCCGAGCCTTGAGCCCTCGGCACCCCCTCAAGTGACTCAGAAAACGAAAGCGCAGAAAAAAATATAAAATATTTTCCGAAAAGATTGTCGGCCCAGGCACACCCAGGAAGGTGCCATGTTGCAGCCGAGCAGTCGTGGCGACCGCGGCCCCACCGGATTCCTGGGCCCGCGGCACCTCCCATCGTTGTTGCGGGGATAGAAGTGGATCTTGAGCAGGATTTTCACCAAAGTGAACTACTGTTTCTTGCAAACTCCCGCGTGGCACTGGCTCGTCATGGAGAGGAGGACTTGGAACAAACTGTTGCTGTAACTCTCAACCCTGCCTTTTCTTCCCACCGAACAGGAAATCCACCTGGGCCACCTTGGTCAGAAAGTCTGCAACGAAAAACGTGCAACATGAAAAAGGAGTTTTCTGGATAGGCGACCAGCAAGTCGGTCCTTTGCACAGCTAGGCTGCTAAGCCTTTCCGCTTGGAGGTGACCTCAAAAAATAACTTGAAAATACGAACCAGGCAACCAAGGAACATATTTCTTGCTCTTCACGCGCCCGTGCTGCGAACGGCTTGGGGCCGGTTCTGGCCTTGATGCCGCCACTGCAGAAGCCGCCCGCCGTGGAACCACAACGGCCTCTGGTTGAACAGTTACTTACCACTACGAGTGGGCAGAATTCGCGGAGTTTTCGCCAGCAGAAACGTCTGGAAAGATTCGCATACTACCACAACTGAATAATAAGCGAGCGGAGTGCGTCAGGACATGGAGTGAACCCTGAATAAGTGCGTGAGCGAGGGGGTGAGACGCTTTTGAGGTCCATAGGTATAGCTCAGCCCCTTAGCAGATCGTAGAAGCGTCTTAAGGCTTTGCTGCGCGGCCTTGCGGAGTGCCGGCTCCACGGAGTGCGCGTGGACTTGAACCGTATGCGCCTCTATACTCGCACACAAGACTCCACATAGATCCACACGCTGCTCCCAAAGCGAAGAACTTGTTTTGCACGACGCATCATGAAGAGCAAAACAGGTGACGGGTCCTAAGCTTGTCATGGTGCGACTGTTCACTCTAAGAATTGAAGCTCTGTTTGTGAGGCTGGCCTGGCTGGCCTCCTGCGTCGTACTCAAACGTGCTTCGCCGAGAAAGTGGCAGGCCTCTGAGCTCCAAGGGTATACGATTCGAACGATTCCCAGAGCCAAGACCGACGAGACTCAAGGGCCGAAGGGCAGAAGGACAAGAAGCAGGGACTCAATCTGTCAATCTTCCGGCCCTTCGAACCAAACACTAAGAATGATGCAGCATCAGATCAGAAAAAGAGAACTGGAAGACTCATTTCCGGAGAAAGGACAGAAAGTCATCTGCATTGCAGCGCAGACATTATATAGAGCCCCTTGACAATTCACTCGGCTGTGCCTCGACGTGGCTTAGCAGCCTGTGCAGCCCAGATTGTAGCGCTTCAGCAGAGGATTTGGTGTTGAATTCAAGGCAAGCGGGGCTAGCGGGGCAAAGCAATGCAAAGTGCACACAGATTCCAGATTTATGCAGCTGCACTGCTGGCATCCTCCATTTTTTGCTGGCTTTGGTCTAATTGGTCTAACATCGTCACTCTTCCAGTGCACCAAATTCTACAGGCGGCCTTGGGAAGCAAGGTGGCGGTCCGTCCGGACCAATATGTCTGTTGAATTCGTCGTAGACATTAGATTTGTGAGCAGCCGCGCCGCACCCAGACTGGCGAGCACTCATGAAGCGCCACGCCGGTGAGTCCAGCCGGGCCGCACACTGGGGATAACTACTGTACAATGTGTCGCGTCGCTTCGCGATTGCTTTGCTTCTCTTCAGGTTTTCATATAAGTTGAGGCCCGAACTCCACACCACACGCTTTGCCTGGCAAAGCAAAGTCATCAGACACGATTTCGGGACTGGGTCGTCCGAGTTACTCATTAACCAAACCATTCAGGTCCCCATCCGACCCAGAAGAGGAGCTTCCACTACGAGAGGCGACGTTCTCAAAATAACCCTGAATAAAACCCCAGAATTTTCTCTCAGCAAAGTCTGAAATACCTACTGCGAAATTGCAAAGCTGCAGGCTCAGCTACTTACCGGACACGCTCTGAAAAAGGGCGCTACATGAGCTGCAGGGGTGCAAACCTCCGCGGTGCTTCCTTTGCCTAGAAAAGCGGTGGCACTGCAAATGGACATGACATCAAGCAAGTAAGCCTAATTAAGTTATTCTGGATTACTTTGGAGTTTCAGGCTGCAGCAGAAAGACGGCCCCAAATCATCGCTCCACTGGCTCTGTGATCTCTCGGTGCGCCTGCAGCTTGCGAATGTTGGCCTCGATCTTGAACTCGCGCTCACAGCGGTCAATCATGATCTCCAAGTGCAGCTTGTCCAGTTCGTCCATAACCTCGATAATGGTCTGATTCGACTCCTGCTGGCGACTGAAGCAGAAAGCGTCCTCAGCTACCTTTGCGAGCACCTCAACCTCTGCATCCTTGCCGACTGCGTCGGCGCAGCGATCATGTCGCCTGCCTGGGCCTCCTTTGTTTCCTCATGAGTTGTGAAATCCTCAGGGCTGGCAGCTAGGAACGGCAAATCGCATGCACATCGGCCGCCACATGACGCAAGAATTTCCTGCGACAGTCGGCCAAGCGGCATCAAAACCATTCGGCCCATGCGCTCATCTGACATACGCTCCTCTGGCTTGGTCCTGGGACAGCGAGCGTAAACAAGCTGCTGCACATGTCATACAATGTGGCTTCGCTGGAGATGCAGGAGCACTCGGGGTCCTTGGATTGAATATGGCGCCCTTACGGATGCACATCAAAAACATCTCCAAGGATGCCTTACCAGATGCAAGGTAGGCCTCGAGAACTTCCTCGTCCTGCTCCATAGCCTTCTCGAGCAACTGAATGGAGAAGGGGTTCGCGTCAAGCTGTTCGACCATTATCGCGACAAATACATGCGCAACCTTGTACTTGTAACGAGCCTCGCGCCAGACGGTTTCCCTCTCAAGCTCAATCCCTGCAACATCAGCAACAGAAAGGGGGCTGTCCCAGCCCTCCACCAGCCATGTGAAGTCTTCGTGGCCGGGGGTATCGATGAAGCCGATGCAGCGGCCACGCCCAAATACGATGGGCATAGCGTTGCTATGAGCGGTGGCTAGACAACACAAAGGCCGCCATACATTTTGGGCCACAGCTTGCTGCAACAGTTGCGCTTGCAAGGGCGCCGGTCTGGACACACGAACGCAATAAGCTGCAATCTCGAAGGTAATGGCAGAAGATTCCACCGGGCGGAAGCCGCCCCGTTCGGTCTTGACGTCACTGATGTCCACGACCGGGGAGCCCGCGCGCCCACCGTTCAGAAACTCGCGCTCTGTGCCCTTGATCGCTGCAGGCACGTACTCCTTGGAAGCGATTGAGATCTCAAAGGCCTCCCCAGGGCTGGGCTCGAAGGACATGCGCAGCTTGACAGGTTGGCCGGAGCCTCCGGCCTGCTTCTCGCGCGTGCACCAAAGCTCCAATAAGTTCGTGATCTCTCGGTGAGCCCGCAGCTTGCGAATGTTGGCCTCGATCTTGAACTCGCGCTCACGGCGGTCAATCAGGATCTCCAAGTGCAGCTTGTCCAGTTCGCCCACAACCTCGATAATGGTCTGATTCGACTCCTGCTGGCGACTGAAGCAGAAAGCGTCCTCAGCTACCTTTGCGAGCACCTCAACCTCTGCATCCCTGCCGACTGCGTCGGCGCAAAGGATGCCGCTGGAGATGGTGTCTAAGCCCACGGCAGCGATCATGTCGCCTGCCTGGGCCTCCTTTGTTTCCTCATGAGTTGTGGAGTGCCTCAGGGCTGGCAGCTAGGAACGGCAAATCGCATGCACATCGGCCGCCACATGACGCAAGATTATATAATGTAGCCTTGCCAGCCTCCCCTGTGAAAGCACAACAAAACGACTTGGAGCTTGGACTCGGGCTGATTCACGAGCACCCCCCTTTCAAGCTGCTCGCCTGCAGGCAGTTTTTGCGATCTGTGACGGTACCTGGATATGCATTGAGAATGGAATTGCGTTCTACATGGCGCCAAGTCTAAGCCGCGAACCCCACCCGACCGCGCAGGAAACAGGAGACTTGCTGCAGCGGACCACCATGTCAGGATGTTGGATTTGGAATGTCCGCCTGACGTAAGCAAAAGCAAAATTGAGGAATTAAGACACCTGGCGGAATGTGCCACACATGCTGAGATGCTGACTCTACGAACGTTGCACGCTTCGGCACAGCCCACAAGCTTTTCAACTGCAGACAGTCTCACGTTCAGTCATATGATGTCATGCTGAGCTTTGAGTGGGCCACTTGCACAATACAGCCTGTCGGCGCGAGCGCTTCCGCAACACCTCGTTTGCGACAGCAAATGACGCCACAAAAGAGGTGTTAATACAGGACGTAGGATGCTCAAAAACCGCAGCAGGACAAGGATCAACTAACGATAGTCTAGCCATACTCATATAGGTAGTCGCCTTCAAGCATACAAGCCAGCTATTTTGCCATCGTATGCCGTGCAAAACAACTCAGGCTCGTACTCGGCTCATTCCAGAGTGGACATAGCGCAGTGTTCGGCCAGCGATGTGGCGCGCAGGCCCAAGGCATCTCTCATGTGCGATGGAACACTTCCTCGTCTGTCTGCCTCGGCATGCTGCGGAGGTGATCTGCAGAATAAAAGTCACAATCCACCAAAGACAAGAACAAAGTAACCTGCTTTCCCTATGAGACTAGCAGTGATGGGTGGTAGCGATAGCAGTGGTAAAAATGATAACCGTCGCGAAAGTGCATGCAAAAGTCTCAGTCATAGTGAAGGAAATGCCGCAGGCCGATGCGATGTTTTCGGGGTATGATCCAAATTCAGGCTAGCGACCGCAGCTTGGTTGTCCTCAGATTTGCAAAATCAATGGGCTTTGCACTTCACAGCAGGCTGCATGTCGCAAGATGCTTACTGGAACCTAGTAGCTTCGCTATGCCAATATGCAGCTAAAGAGCGAACAGGCGCCGCCGTTCCTGGTAAGCACAGGGTTCACAAGCAAACACGAACGCCAAGCGCCCAGTACTCATACCAGTCCTCCAACTTCGCCTGGTTTGCATGGTGCTTCAATACCTGGGTTGCTGCTTTTATGCATGTGAAACTAGACTTGTGCTTTTCTACTCGTCATGCCTGAAGTATGAGCCGCTGGATCTTGTTCTGCGACAGCATTGCAAAGGTTCTTTCTGCGGGGGGCGTTGCTGGACAGATGTGATGCTGTTGTCCTTGCCCGGTCTTTGCTCGCGGACAGCTTAGTTGCAGGCCCAGCAGCCCGGTACGTTTGCATTTGTGAGCAATTCCTCGAGGTATCCCTCACATCACCATCCAAACCGCAACTGTCACGTGGACCAGCTGTCAGAAGCGCGATTATTGAGACATGTCGGAAATGTCGTTCGTGAGACATTCGTCATTGCGGGATCGAGAAAAATGTCAATTCTCACATTGACGCGGTCGGAAGTGCAATTCATCGTTTTGGGTTAAGAAGAATGCAAACTTTCCAGCTGGTCAAGGTGTCACGAGACGCAGTTTCCTCTGAGTGGCGTGGATGCGATATCTCGCACGAGCAAGTCTTGAAAAACCAAACCTTTTGCATGCACGAGCATGTTACGAACAGCAAAGTACAGGTCCAGGGCATGAGAATTCCTGACCAAGTCTGTCCGAACAGAACACCGTCAGCAGTCAACCGCCCTACATTATCTCACTGTTCCATATTGAAAAGGCAGCAGCAGCAAACCTATGAGAGACTCCACCTGTCGGCAAAAGGTTTGGCTACCCGAGAGCACGATGAGTTCGCTGCGGAAAGGTTGAAAACCACTGGTTACAGGCAAGCGCTCCTGTCACGTGCAAGGCAGGCTTTTCTCTCATGGAAACGCAGCAGAACTGAAGGTCATACTAACGTCATATCTGCGCCGTTTCCTCCATTGAACACTTCCACCATGGGATGCAATACAACAACCGATTGACTACATCGAGCGTCCTTCTTTCTCGACAGCTGCTGTAATAGCGGCACCGGAAACCCGAATTCAACAACATCCAAACGGAGAAGATCACATGTGGGAGGAGTGCCCGGTCGGAGCTAGACAGCTAACACTACTGTTCTGTACCAGCTGCCGCGAGGGAAGAGCTGGTGTGCCGATGCACTGGCAAAAGGAGCGCCGCTTCCATCTGACAGTTCGGAATAAACATCTAAGCTCAGTGAAGTGCGACAAAGAAAACATTCCGCCAATGCCTTCAGCGTCGTCGTTTGCTTCGCCAGCTGTCTCTCCTTATGGACGATTTGATTTACCCCGCAACATCCGGGAAACCTAGAATTTTCCAGCACTCGCTGCACCACTACAGTCTGGGCAAGGAGCTGGAACCACAGGGAAGAAGTCGCATGCCGATAGCCTGAATTTGACACTATATTTTTGCCAGCCGCACAACAGGGAGATCATTTTATAGACCAAGCCTTCCCACAACGAGGCTTCGACATCAGAAATTAAAGTCGCAAAAACAATAACTCGCTGTCGAAACTCCACAGGGCATGCCAATGCCTGCCGAGGTTCATCTTGCCAAGGCGAAGGTCGCCAAGGCTAAAGGGTCCGAAAGAGCTGGCAGCCGGAGCAGCTGCGCATAGGGCTACCCGCAAAGCCCCACAACACATTTCAACACCTCCTATAATAACCCCGTGTACATCAACTAAAGGGAAGAGAAGGCACGCAATCCGATCCTCGTAATGGGCGAATCTCTTCCGGTTTTAAAAGGGAAGGCGGCATACTGCACCCCACATGACGACACCGGAGGGCGAGCCAGGGTGCGGAAAAGGCGCACCCACAACAAGCTCTAGCGGGTCCGAAAACACGAAGGCCATGCCACGACTGCAAACCACCCCTAAACCAAGAAAGCCCCACAAATGGAAGCACCTCAATCCGCGCCTCCTCGGAGGCGGAGGCGCATTACAATACGGCTCCTTCGGTATCAAGAGAAGAATCCACGACTTGGGGAACTGACTGTCCAGGGTCCAGGACTACAATGCCCTATGGCACTATGGTTTCGGTTTTCAAGCTCCAGTCTTTTCCCCGCCTAGCCATACTCTGGGTTGAAGCCGGTTAGGACATACTTGAGCAAATGTGACGGGGGATCATTTTAAGGTGTGAACTCTCGGGCAACCCACAAAGCACAATGGCAGGAGCTCAGCATGAACTTCATGACAATCTATCTTTGAGGCACCCTCGGGCATCCAGTGTTGTCGGTTCTCTAGTCAGGTTGCAGGACGAGCCTCGGAGGACCCGAGTCCCGAACCCTTCTGTCAGAACTGTTGCGGTACTCTTTTGTCCATCTCCTACTGTTCTCGGCTCGGCTTCCTTTGCTTGAGACTATCAAACTCCCGCCCTGATTTCCTCCAGGAGCTCCCAGATTCCGACGTAGGCCTTGGAGTTCCATGGAGTCAGCTGTGGGGCTGAAAAGGTGATGCGTGCTTTGGGTGTTTTCCCACAAATGAGAGCAACCACGGAAGGGCAGGCCAAAGGCAATAGCTGCCACGCAGGATACCACGTCAGTGCAGCGTGACCCCTGCACAAGGATGACACGCCTTGTGCGGGTTAAGATGATAAAGATGCGAAACTTGCGTTGAGGATTGGGACCGTGGTTTCGCTTGGGTGCTCTGGTTAAGCCTTGTTTCCGAAGAGTTGGCGAAGTTTAAGGTGAAAGCAACTACTTTCTCTACCAGATCAATGCTTCCCGCCTAGTTGCTAGGAGTGACGATTGTGATCTGGGTGGTTTCCAAAACTTACGGCTCATCAAACTGAGGCAGAGGCCAAAAAATCCATGTCGACGAGCCTGGGCTCGCAATCTCAAGGGCCGAGCAAGAAGCAACGGCCGTTTCGGACCCTCACAACTCCGAGACGCGCACGAGTCACAAGGCTCACAACACAGGAATACCAAGCTCAAGAGTGCTGCTAGACGCTTGTCAGTAGTCAGTAGATTGCCAATGATTTTAGCACCTCACCTTGAGGAGCACATGCAAACCTCCAACATGCAAGGCCAGTCCGCGGCAGAATTGAGGTGTTGGGTCTTGAGCATGCTGTGAGGGTAGATTGCATGGTCATATATTGGGCCAAATAGCTGTAATGTGTCAAGCTCACGGAGAAGAGTATTCACTTGGATGCTCCTAATGCGGCCCCTTGGCTCAAACGTTCTACTACTCTCTACACTAACCTTCGAGTTCGCTGAAAAGCTATTCCAACCTGCAAAAATCTCGCACCTATCCCTATAAAATCTGTGCCCACAGCCACTTACACTCCCAGCCGCAATAAGTTTCTCAGGAAGCTATTAATCAAATGCGTGGGGATTTGATCTCAATGATGTTGCTGCTCTCCCCACCAGAGCTGTAATGAATATAGGTGTGGCTGGCTTGCACTCTCCACAGACTGGGACCCTGTCTCTCTCACACTTCCACACGTGCAATCCTATGCAGGCAGAACCGGCGGCCGTTCCTTTTGCACTCGCTGCCGGCGGCGGTTCGTCTGTGCACGGGATAGCTCTGATTGCTCAGGATAGAAGACACATATAGCACTTAGCTATGGGCATTGACTTGAGCCAAACGTTGCGTGGGCGGTCACATAGAAAGGTAAGGAGAAGCGATGCGGTGTGCGTAGCACGACCACAAGCTTACTCCTAGAGTCGAGGGACGCGTAGCGTGCCCCCTTCTCTTGCACTTTACACGGTCTTGCTCACAGCTCTTATAGTGACACCTTAGAACTTGACAAGGCATCGCAGTCCGTTCGCACCCCCCATGAGTTGCGTCTCCGACGCTGCTCACCCGGAAGATGGCACGATAGGACAACAGAAAATGTTCCGCCGCAACGTTGACATTGAAAATCAGAGCTTTGCATCCCAATTAGAAACGTTGTGACACTCATCTACGTCAGTAACGATCCCCTGAAATGGCAAACGAATCAGGCGTCACCGAAGAAAGAAGCATTCGCGATGGAATTCCACGGGCGAAGCACAGAGGTCACGAACTGGAAGATGAGGTAGATCATGCATTGGTTCACCTCCATCTTCGCGTGGACGCAGGATCGCGGTCCCAGGGCCGGAGGTTTTCCTCTGGATACTGGTTCCTTTGCTTTCCTTTGTCCTTGCCTTTGTTTCGGCCTTTGCCGGCGATGTAGTCTTGGTAGGTATTGGCGTTCCAGCCACCATGTTGCTCATCTCCGGTCCTTTCACGCCCTTTTGAAGGTCCCTTTGCCGAAGAAGCGCTTGCACGTTCCTCCGTGGTGACGGGCGTGTCCAGGATGGAAGTACCACCCGCAGGGAGATACTCAGCGGCCGAGATGTGATGTAGGGCTTCAGTACGTTTGGTTGTCGGATTTTGCTGTCTCTCAGCCTTGGATCTGACCAATCTGTCCATGAAATGCGCAGGCATTTGCACATTGTGGTCCACCAGCAATCCAATGGTCTGGACTGAATGATCGGCATGAGTCAGCAGGATACCGACGGGGTCGATGTACAGGAAGTCCACCGGTCCAGTTGGCG